CAAGTTGGGACTGAAATGGGACAAACTTGTAGGTGTGACAACAGATGGTTGTCCAAATCTGACGGGGAGAAATGTTGGACTTTTGAAGAGAATGCAGGATAAAGTTACCGAAATTAACCCTGAGCAGAAATTGACATTTTTGCATTGTATTATACATCAGGAAGTGTTGTGTAGGTCAGTATTAAAAATGAACTATGTTGTTGATGTTGTAACTAAAACTGTTAACTTCATCAGAGCAAGAGCACTGAATCACAGACAGTTTGTTGCACTATTGGAGGAAAATGAGTCTGAACATTGTGACATCAGCTACCACACAAGTGCCAGGTGGCTGAGCCTGGGAAAAGTCCTGAAAGTTTTCTGGGACCTGAGAGAGGAGATCTGGCAGTTCTGTGAGAACAAGGGAAATGACATCCCTCAACTTTCAGATGCAGACTGGCTGGCAGACCTTGGTTTTGCTGTAGACGTGACTTCTCGGATGAATGACGTGAATGTCAAACTGCAATGCAGGGGCCTTTTTGTGCATGAAATGTACAGCGCAGTGAAGGCTTTCATGAGAAAGTTGCAGCTTCTCTCAAGCCAAATGGGGAACAATATTCTTACTCACATGCCAACACTGAAGGAAGCCAAACCATCAGCTGATCACCTCCACAGGTACTCATCCATGTTAGAAGCACTGCATGCTGAGTTTTCAAGGTGATTTCAAGATTTCAAAACACTTGAGAGTGAAATGGACATGGTTTCTTCTCCCTTCAGCTGCAATGTGGGTAATGCACCCAGTGATGTTCAGATGGAACTCATTGACTTGCAGTCTGACACACTTCTGGCAGCACACTTTAGGTCTGTCCCACTGCTTGAGTTTTACTCATCACTCAAAGAGGAGAACTTTCCACACATGAGGAGACATGCTCTGAAAATTCTAGTCCTCTTTGGATCTACCTACATATGTGAACAGACATTCTCAGTGATGAAGTTCAACAAATCCAGACACAGATCCTCTATCACTGATGACCACCTCTCAGCTGTCTTTCGCATAGCCACCTCAGATATTCGGCCAGATTTCAGTGCACTTGTTCAAGCCCAAGACAGACTGGATTTCTCCCACTGAACAGGTAAATGATTCTTATATATAATTTGCTGCATTTTATAATGGGCCCTTTATAATGGCCTTTTATAAAATTGGTTCGGCCCTCGAACGCAGATCTGATTTTCCATGTGGCCCCCGACAGAAATTAATTGCCCACCCCTGGAATAGCTGATCAGATAATACCCATAAGGGAAACAAAGCGTTGCCCCGCCTCCTGCCAACATAACAGTTTGAAAACATGCAAATGTGAGTAGATAAATAGGCACCATTTCTGTAGAAAGGAAACAGCATTCTGTGTGTCTTTGTGCCATACTGGGCGTAGGACCATGGAAGTGTCTTCGTTCAGCTAAGAAATGTAAATGAGCCGAGTCGGATTTGACTGGACAGGGGAAACCTTTACCTTTATTTTTACCTATACACCATTTCTGTTATGTCTGTGGAACTGGTTGGAGTTCCCAACCAGGTCCGCTGTTTGAGCGGGAGCACCAGCAGCTCCCATTGGCTGGCTCCGTTTGACAGCCGGCTATATAAGCCGGCTGTTGGGCAGAGCCAGCCCGTTGTTGCCCGCTGGTCTGCGAGTTAGCTAGCAGACGCGACAACCCTTTATTCATTGCAATAAAGCCTGTTACTAGTACGCTCTGGTCTCATGCCTCGTCCTTACCATCGCTCTACAACAATTTCACTTTCTAAAACTGTTTCTACCCAGAGCATTGTTGGAAGTAATGTATGTGTGCAATTAGTGATTTGCTTTTTAGTGTGCTAGTATCCCATTCATTTTAAAATTAAATTAGAGCAGAAATGACCAAAAACTAAATCAATGAGACTTTGCCACTTGCCCTGTTGGATATCTCTGGAGAGAAGCAAAAAAAATTTCAAAATGGTGTGGAGATTATTCAGATAGCTCAAAATAAAGTTGTCATCTGTAGCCAAATTCAGGCTTTAAATTCTTTGGTGTCCCTAAAGATGGTATAGCCTTCCGAAGTGGCTTAA